ATAATACCCTGTACCACAGTGTGGTGAAAGGTATAATGAAATGTATTTTAAGGAACTGATTTAGATATAGCTCCAATATATATTTTCGTTCGATTTTAGGTAAATAATGCACCAAAGTCTCTATATATCCTTCGTTTTGCATGAAATTTGGCATAGCATACTGAATTAAGTCTAGAACGGTGTGTGTTAAATTTTGTGAAAACAGGCTCATATTTAGATATAGCTCCCATATATATTTTTGTCCGATTTTAGGTAAATAGTGTACCACACTCTCTTTATATACTTCGATTTGCACAAAATTTGGCATATCGTACTAAATTGCGTCTAGAATGATGAATGGTGAGTTTGGGGAAAATCTGTTCAGATTTCGATATAGCTCCCATATATATGTTCGTCCGATTTTATGTAAATTGTGCACCAACGTCCCTATATGTCCTTCGATTTGCACGAAATTTTTCACACATACTGAATTAAGTCTAGAACGATGTGTGTTAAATTTCGTGGAAATCGGTTCAGATTTAGATATGGCTCTCATATATATTTTCGTCCGATATTAGGTAAATACTGTACCAAAGTCCCTTTATATCCTTCGATTTGCACGAAATTTGGCATAGCGTACTGAATTGAGTTTAGAATGATGAGTGGTGAGTTTCGGGAAAATCGGTTTAGATTTCGACATATCTCCCATATATATTTTCGTCCGATTTTATGTATATGGTGCGCCAAGGTCCCTATGTATATCCCTCGATTTGCACGAAATTTGGCATAGCGTACTGAATTAAGTCTAGAAAGATGTGTGTTCATTTTCGTGAAAATCGGTTCAGATTTAGATATAGCTCCCACATATAGATTATATTTTTAAATACGCGGCGTACCGAATAACGTGTATCAATTTTGCTATAAATCGTTTTCCATAAATTTTCCCCATGTTACGCAGACGGCTCTAAATCTGCTCGAATGAAATTAGGATAGGTTGGGGAAATAGGGAACATAGACATGCAATTGTTAGGATACATATGTACAATATACCCAAAGTTGTGAATGGTATCATATAGTCGGCCCAGTCCGACTTTACTACTTTTCTTACTGGTTTAGAAAATCTTTTAGTTTATTTTTTATTTCGGTGTCTTGAAAAACGTCAATTTGGTTCGCTATAGCACAGCTGTGTGTTTTTACAAATTGTGTTTTTACGAATGGCGGGCACGATAACCCAAAAAATAATAATCAAGTCGAATATTTTCCTTACTTGTTAACATAGTTTGTGGTCAAAAACAGCCTTTTGGTTTATTTTTTGAGCGAAGTCAATAAATCTAGTTCATATGAGAGGCAGCAAAGTACCCTTTCTAACACCGCCGGTATTTTCGGATTCCGAAGAGGTGTTACCATGTCCGCCATCAAAAATAAGCACCATTTTAATCACAAAATACAACAAAACAATTTTTTTTAATTATTTTTCTTCTCTTTAAATCTTCAAATATATATGTGCAAAGTTACCAACCTTAACAAGCATTGGTATTCATTTACCCGCCCATTGAATATCTTGAACATTTAAAATCTAGAATGGGGGTTTCTCTTAAATAATTCAACAAATTCAGTTGTGAAGTTCCAGTCCTCAGAACTAAGGTGAAATTCAGGATTGTCGGACCTTAACGTATTTACCAACTCTTTCATTTCCAGCCATATTTCGAGCATATTATATGTTGATGTTCCGAGTAAACTCAGAACTGGACCAGTAAGAATTTTAAAGGTCCTATCTTCGGCCATGTGCAAAGAACGCCCTTTTTGGGTGAACAGCTCCACTATTTGTTGCGGTGGCCTTGCATGCACCATGTCCGTCCTGGACGCAAAAAAAAATTTACGTGGGAGGGCCTTAAGGTGAGACCCTTCATCCGACGTGGCGGTCTTCAAAACCACGATTATCTCCAGTTCCAAGATTCGGGATAGGTGTGGGAACTAGGGAGAATTAATAATACGTTTTCGTAACCTGGGCACTGTCTCGGGGTAACCATAGAATCACAGTATCACAGCTTAGGAAGATAACGTGTAATTTGGCAAGGGGTTGAGCATAGATCAGATCAGTGGGTTGGTATTGGAGGCACCCATGATCACTGGAACATGTACATTAATATTCTTGCGCCTGTGAAAGAAGGCATAATCCACCATGGCACCTCTTGGCATAATGAAAATAACTTTCAACATCAGATATTTCCATTCGCGAGATGATGGTGACCTATGCCCAAGTTCACACGGGGGTTGGGCGCCATACTGTTACGTGGCCTGTGTTGCGACACGTAACATATTGCTAGTTCGATGTTCTTTGGATTTACACATGTTCGTAGCAATACTTTATTTACACATTTTGGTGCCACGTTCCGCTTTTGTTCAATGTAGTTTGCATATACATCAGGACAATACCTCTTTAAATGACTTTCTAAAATGGCGAGTATGATCATTTAAAATAGTCTTGCTGCAACTTTAAAAATTAAACACAATTTTGTTTGTTTCGTTTGTATCGAAAAGATCAAGAAGAAAACTATTTGTAGGTCTTGCCGTTTTTTATAATTATATACACAACGTTTGATAAAAAAAAACTAAAGAACTGTAACTGTACAATTGGATTTATAGTTAAAAAGTCAAATGTTTCATTACCTACCACGGTATAAGTAATGTTCCCCCAATATTCAAATACTGGAAATATGAAATAATATACTAGGAATCAGAACCTATAGTACATGTATGTAGTTTTAATATTTATTCCAAAATCGTAAAACCATAACCACGTAATATGAACACCTGTATTCATGAATGAACCGGTAATACTTATGTTGATTGTGTAACAATCACCAAGTTTTGGATATTTTTGCTAAATTAATTGTTTCTAAAAATATGAATCATATGTAGGCTAATCATTTATTTATTATATTATAAATATGGTTCCAGTTTTATTTGAAAATCCTGCATCTTACCCTTTATGAAAAAAACTCATTTTTTCATACCAACATTTTACAATTAGGTCTCCCAATATTGTTAAAAATTCATTAAAAATTAATGTCCGTTGATGTGAATTATTGACATACTAACTCAAATGTGAGTTATAATTTTTTTAATGCTGTATATTTTGTCACAAAATTAATATTTCAAATGAACTTTTTCATTTTTGTAATTGCAAATTAAGATATGTTCCGAATTTAATAGTTTTAATTTGTTTTAATTTTTAATTTGTATTGTATTTTTATATTATTTGGTCGAATTTTTCCTCACAAATAATAAAACATTCGTGTATGGCAACGCTGCGATTTTTAGTGTCCCGGCAAGTGGAACACTAAAGGGCTAAACAGAATGTTCGCGTTGAGTGTTTCTTATTATGGCATTAACGCACGCAAAATGTTAACATATATTTAACTCCGAAGCGCAGCGCACATAAACATCTAGCGTTAGTGTTATCGTTTCCTTGGGGTTGTTGTATTTTCCATAACACATAACGCAACGGATGGCTCTGCTTATCCCTTTAGATTTTAAGTTTCCCGGCAAGTGAAACATGATTTTAGTGTACCAAATTCGGTACACTACGATTTTTTATGTACCCCAGTCGGTACACTACGATTTTTAGAGTACGCTATGATTTTTAGTGTGCCAAGTTGTGGAACACTGCGATTTATTTGTGCTCCGGAACAGTAATGCTAAAAATATGTTTAGTGTTTGTGTTACCGGTACACGTTATTTTACTGTACCTATCCCCCTTGGAACGGTACCATAATGTTTGTTTTCGAACGCTTATTTTGAGTGTACAGTTATGTGGGGTCTAGCCTAAACATGGAATAATATTGATTATTTTTATACATATAATTGGGATCCCGTTATATGGAAGATGTACCAAATTGTGGACCGGTATTGATAATTCCTGTAGAAAGAAACGACAAAATACAGAATTTAAGTCAAATACAAATAAATACAGACTACTTTAAAAAATGGATCATACTTTATTGGCTCTTTTTTTCTGTAAGAAAGTCTCTTTATCATTTCAAAAGAAAAATGGAAATTAAAACATATGAAAAATATGACTTACTCCAAAAAATTAACAACCTCATTGCGTTATTACATAACCCATATACAAGCTCTGATTAGAAAACATACTTCAGAAACCGATTTTTGGTATAACCGACTGCTCCTCCTTCTTTTATTTTTTCTTTCATCTCTTCAGTTCAATCAATCATCTCTTCAAAACTTAATACAGTTTTGTTAGTCCATTTTTTCGAATATTATAAAAAATCGAAGAGCACACCTGAACATGACTAACTTTTTTATATTCTCCACCAAAAAAGTTCAATATTGATTCACATTTTCCAAAATAGATGATATTACCAACATATACATATAACAGATACGTGTACAAACAAACAAATCGAACACATGTAACATTCAAGTCCGTGAAAATAAAACATTTAGCTAAAACGATAATCACCAATTTAGATAGGGCTGGTCCTTGGTCCAGAAATATGCCAATGAACATAATGAATAGTTTACAAATAAGCAGTATAAACAAACAGCAGTATAAACGAACATTATAGAAATATTAAAAAAATCACTTTCTATGAAATCCATGGGTAAACTGGCACAGTTAATCATGATCTACAACCTTTAACAACAAACAACCTATTACAAAATATATACAAAGAAGCCTGTAAGAAAACTGCAAACATTTTTCATATTTATTTGCAGAACAGCAGCTTCTTTGACTGATGAGCAACAGATCTTCCACGTGAACATAACAGATTGACATGATAACAATTTCTTGGCATATTCGATGAATGAAATGCATCAGCGGCGGTAACATCTTCACCATCGTCTCAATATTTTCCCCCATTTCCAGAACAAACGCCTTGATATGCTGTGATTTTTTTCGGAGCTGAAGTTAAAGTTTTCCATCTTTCATCTAAGCACTGCCTGAATCATTTAACCACACTCGCTTTTCAAATCTGCTCGATATTGCGATGGAGAATATGAAAAGCTGTGTTGGCGTCATACAAGTTGTCGCTTTTGTGCTATTCTTGATGGATTTCAAACTTGGATGCGGCAACAATATGCATGTGCATGCCCAAGGTAAGTATGTTTAAATATATTTATTTTTATTTACATACACGCGCCATGGCAAATATAAGGGTGGCTAGATGGTAAACCTTTAGTGCTCCGAGTTTTCCTTACACAGCAAATTATTATTTGTGTAAATAGTTAGAGATGGTATTTACCGGGTAAATACACAAGGGGTGGGTAAATACCGGGTAAATACCCATTTGCGGGTATTTATTTGGGTATTTACTATATTGACTCGGTAATACAACATCTTACACCCTATTTCCGGGTTTCTGTTATCAAATCGATTTAGAATAGATAGTTTTACGAGTTTTTACCCGAAAAATGGGTAAAAACTCATTAACTGCCGAACCACTTGACATAGGCGGCCAAAATTTTGCACACATGTTTCTAATGTCAAAGCAAATATAGAAATCCAACATGGGGTCCCTGGGTCCAAGTTTTGGTATAGCCCCCATATAACCGTATCTCCCGATTTAAGGTATTTTTAGCCTATTAGACACATTTTGAGGCCAAATTGGCTGTAATTTTGCACAGAATGTTCTTTTTGGGTACCAAATGTCCATGCGAAATGTTATGTATGTAGGTCCACGTTTACTGGTAGCCCCCATACAAAGGTACCCCTATTTTGAGTATTTACACAAAAATTGGGTATAAACTCATTAACTGCCGAACCACTTGACATAGGCGGCCAAAATTTTGCACACATGTTTCTAATGACAAAGCAAATATAGAAATCCAACATGGGTTCCCTGGGTCCAAGTTTTGATATAGCCCCCATATAACCGTATCTCCCGATTTAAGGTATTTTTAGCCTATTAGACACATTTTGAGGCCAAATTGGCTGTAATTTGGCACAGAGTATTCTTGTTGGGTACCAAATGTCCATGTGTCTAATAGGCTAAAAATACCTTAAATCGGGAGATACGGTAATATGGGGGCTATACCAAAACTTGGACCCAGGGACCCCGTGTTGGATTTCTATATTTGCTTTGACATTAGAAACATGTGTGCAAAATTTTGGCCGCCTATGTCAAGTGGTTCGGCAGTTAATGAGTTTAAACCCAATTTTTGGGTAAAAACTCGGGTATTTACCCAAGTTTTTACCCACGTCTTTAAAGAATCGTAAAACTATTCATTCTAAATCGATTTGATAACAGAAACCCGGAAATAGGGTGCAAGATGTTGTATTACCGATTCAATATAGTAAATACCCAAATAAATACCCGCAAATGGGTATTTACCCAATTTACCGGGTATTTACCCAATTTACCTGGTATTTACCCTTTGGGTATTTACCCACTGCCCATCTCTATAAATAGTTAATGTAGCTATCATGCATAAGTAAACCAGTAAGGAAAGTAGTAAAGTCGGACGGGGCCGACTATATGATACCCTTCACCACTTTGGGTATATTCAATAGATGGGATCCTAACAGACGTCGCATTTTTGAAGGACCATTAACATGAAATTAAACATGTCATTCTGCAATCTATACTAAATTTTGGTCAGATATAGAGTTGCTTCTTACAATGGGACAAAATTATGTAAATAAATTAAAAGCAAAATATCGAAGTCTAAACCGATTTCATCGAAACTTGTCACATGTTCGGCCACATTTTGAGTTCTTCATTTACTGTTTATACCACAGTGTGGTGAAGGGTATAAAAAGTTTGTGCAGAAAACATTCAGAACTTCTTTTCATCGAAAATAACTTAGAAGAAAACATTCATGCATTCCGAGCATAGATCAAAATAATTGATTTGGACTGCGTTCATATTTTTATTTTGTGCAATCACATTTGTTAATTTGATGTAAATCGCCAAGCATTCACTCCACGGTATTTAATCAGACAATTTATATGAACCAGTCGTGTTATGAGCAATACATATCTAAAAATATAGCCGATTCGATGTCGGGTAGATTTATTCTTGGCCAGTCCACAATTTTCAGTTGAACAGAACGTGGGCGAAACTTTTAAATAATGCTACATGTTATTGCATTTTTTACATTTTTATTGTGGCAATAATATCTTGCATTTTCACATCTTTTTTAAAAACACACGGTTTTTTTTTTGTGTTACATGCTGTCGTTTTGATTTTTTTATGTTGGGACATTAGCGCAAATATTTTAATAGTTTAATGGCACATTAGCGCCCACAGACACAGATGCTCATTTTATGCTGCCTCATTTGTACAGTGTATTCCACATGTTTCCCCAGGTCACATTCAACCAGATGAACCGGAGCCGGTGTTTTTGTCTCAACTACCAAACGTCACAGTGTCACAGGGAAGAGACGTATCATTTACGTGTGTGGTCAACAATTTAGGGCAATACAAGGTAAGTGTGCCTCTTCATTTTTTTTTAAATATTATTAGATGTATTTCAAAACGCAATCTAAAATCCGTCTTACATTGACGATTAATTATAATTTTTGTAGGTGGTGTGCCACTGAAAACCAATATAAAAAAAGAATTTTTTGAAAAATAAAAAAAGATGTCTCGGTCAAAACCTAAACCCCCCTCAGTACATTTTTCTATTTTTTTTTTATGAACAACGTTATGCCTTTATATTATACTATTTATTCATGACTTTATTATTGAAAAATACAAACTAAAGAATTCTGAATTAAAAATAACATTTTATTTTATTACGGAATGCTAGCAGACAAAACTAAAGCACCCCCTAATGTAAAATATAGATTTTTTTTAATATTTCGTTGCGTGTTCTTTATTCTGGAGGATATTCACACAACCCTTAGGCATATAGATATTGGACATTAAAATATTATTTATTTCAGGCGATATTGCTTTCCAGACTATTATTTTTTGTTTATTTTGCATTGTGTTAAGATCAGAGAATTGGGCATGCCAAGGGAGAACCTCAATATAATTTGTTGAAGAAACCACTCTCGCATTTCTTCCTCGGCATAAGGCACAATCACATCTTTTGGTATGTCACGAATTGGTCCAATCCCATGCCTCGAGAAAAAAGAAAACCCTAGATTACTATATAACATACTCCATGTTTGCAATAGGATTTAACAATTGTTCATCTTTTATAATTGTTCATCGGTTATATATTAAATTTTTAGAAATATACATCACTTTTTAATAGAAAACACTCTATGTGCACTTGCAATACAGGTTAACTTCTGGTTTTTAAATTAGTAGGTATGTGGAAATAATTTGACAGATGCCTGAAATTTCCGTCCTTTCGTCTTCGTACCATAACTCACGGAGGATTTAAATGCTATGTCTGAAATTTTACTGATATGTTTACTAAATAGACTAGATGACCTGGCGAACGCTGTTTTGCATTCCACAATTTTCATGGGTATCATTTTAAAATTTACCCTGGTTTAGGACATCTCTCTTAGATGTCCAGAATATTTATATATTTATAGCTTTGCCAAAAATTTGAACTAATTTTATTTTGAAGTTTTTATTAGTTTTTCAAACAGAAAGTGTTGTAGGATGGAACAGTAGTTTTAAATATAGGTCCATGTTTTAACATATATTCGCGCCAGTTATGGTCTTGGGCGTTCCTGGTGGGAGCAATCGTGGTTTTTCCACTAAATAAGATTGTCATTAAATGTCCTCATTTAGTATAGTAGCCATTTTCGGTATTTTGTCGGTATTATTTTTCGAACAGAAAGTGCGCAATGACTTTTCTCAGAGAACAAAAACCCTCCTAAAATCGGTGGCATTGTCACCGACTTTATAAAATTTCGTAGCGATAATTTTTAATGCCCCTTTCCATTTTTGTTGTGTGCCCACATTCAGTATAAGTGGACTATGTGGACTATATTAACCTAAATTTATACCCTCAGCCTTGAAATACATTGATATCTCGATGTCGGTCTATAGATCCCTAACTGTTCTGTCGCGAATTTTTTATCAGTTCTTATTTTTTCCCGGATTTTTGTAAAACTTTCAAATTTAAGCGTTTAAGCAGGTATTCGATCAGAAACCATCGTTCTGATGACACCTGCAACCCAAATAATATAATCAATGGAATTGGGAAACTCTTTTCCGCCTATTCATTCGCCGCCTGTTTTTGCACAACCAATAACAAACGCCAACGTCTAGGAAATGGAGAGCCTTCAACAGAGGTGGATATATCTAGTCTTCAATATGATCCAAACAACCAAAACAGATTTTCAATGTTTGCAGATCTAGAAATAGAAAGCACTCCACATATTTATAATTGTGCACAGATGCAGGATGGTGCACCAACAACGACCTCAGACAGTCAACAATCCATCAAAACTTTTTGTCCACCTCCATACGGTCACCAAATAAAACCTATGTCAGTTTTTTTTAACCTTCAAGTGCCTACAATACCACACCATCAATTGTGAACGAGTTTCCTAAACTAGGCAACATTTTTCTTCAACCAGATGAGCATTCTCTCGACGAAGAGATCAATATTTTCCTAGCGGAATTCAACAACATGTCAAAGGCAAAAAAGACAAATCTACTTATGGACCTTAGATCTTTAAATCTGTTAACATTCAACGTCCGATCTCTTTTGGATCGCAGCCGTCAAATTGAACTTAGCAACTGCCTTGCAAAGAACAACATCGATATTGCTTTAATACAGGAATGTCATCTCCGTACTAACAGGAGAGTCAAAATAAAGCATTACACGTTTATATATGATTACTCATCAATTAAGGTAGCTATATTATTAAAAAAACCTAATTTATAAAAGTATTGTTGTTGACGATATTCATTTCAATTCAGTTTTCATAGAAGTTGAAACCAGCCGAAATGGCATAAGGTCTAAATATTTATTTGGATCTCTTTACATCCCATGCAATTACAGTACTCAGAGGAATACCGTGGTGTTAAATAAGTGTCCATTATCCTCGACTGAGTAGGAAGGTTTCATTCTTGGTGGTGAACACAACGATAGACCAATACTTGGGGTGACGCAACAGATAACACCAATGGAAGGTCGATTTATAATTGGATATTGGACAATTCTACAGATGTTACTCGATTATGTAACTCATCTCCGTCATACATTACATACATTTTTTTGTTAAGCCCAGGTCTGACTAGAAATATTAAAATATCAAGTCTTCCATCGTTTTCGGATCATTTCCCCCTTAAGTTGGAAAAAATCGACTTAGGTAACACGATCCAGAGATCATCTCAAACGATCAAGTCATGCAAGTCCACAGACTGGACTATTACGTTGACATTTTCAAAGAAAATATTCCAGAAAACCGACTTTCTAACGTTGAGGATAGCATCAGAGTGCATATGGAGCCTATCCCCAACCATATTTATTATTTCAGTGACGAATTTAACTCTGTGCAAAATTCTGATCATTACCATTTTACTGACTGACTGTTAAAAGTCATATTGGCTGTGTAAATAAGAAGAAATCCAGCGGCATTGATGGCATATTCAATTATGTAATGAAAAATTTCCCGGATTCTGCCTTAAAGTTTCTTACAATAATCTTTAATAATTGCTTAAAGTCCACGCTTTGGGGTTTTCATTAACAATTGCCGGAATTTTGTATTTGGTGTACATCATGGTTTACATACACCGGTTTGTAGAATTATCGGTATAGGATCACTTTTTTGTTCCCTATATTTTTATTTCAAGTGTCTGTCAGTATACCTATGGTGGTATCCAAAGTTCGGCCCGGCCAAACTTAACGCTTTTTCACTTGTTTATATTAAAATAGTTATCTGATTTGTTCCGTGTGTTGGGGTTGTCCCCCCATTCTATTCTCCCATAATATGGGGGTAGTCGTTACTGTGAATAGTCAGTTGTTACCTTACAAAGATGATTTAGTTATATGTTGTAATCATTCCACCTTCTAAAGATATCGTGATAAAAAACTCAAACCTGACAATAATGAAATATATCGGCAGGCATTTAGGCATCTCTCCCATATAATGATAACTCCTAAAAGAAAGAATTGAGATACAAAATTAAAATATTGGGTTCAAAATTGACATTTACCGGTCATTAATAGAGCATAGCCCTCATATAATGATATCCCCAAATATTCGCTACTTCCTACACTATGTAATCAATATTGGTTCTAAGCCTCATATAATGTTGTAATCTAAATTACAGTAGTTTGAGGATTTTATACTCTACCATGCGTTATCAGTATCAGTCTACGTTTTGGAGCTTTCAGATTTTAGAAAAAATCCCCATTAAAAATTCCTGAAATTTGTATTTGGTGTACATAAATCGGTTTTTAGAATTATCGGTATATGCCCACTTTTTGGTATGTTACCTATATTTTCATTGCAAGTATCTGTCAGTATACCTATGGTGGATACCCTCCACTGGAGGGTATCCAAAGTTCGGCCCGGCCGAACTTAACGCTTTTTTCACTTGTTTATTAATAGGTATGTAGATAAGTAGCTGAGTAAATAATACAAAGCAGAGTGAAAATGTTGAAAAAAAATACAAAATAGCAAGTTTTTAACAATTCAATTTCAGCAGCATTTCTCTCTCAACTTACTCTCATTTACTGAATTTTTAAGTTATTGAACAATAATTAATTTATTATTTAAAAAATAACATATTAGTATTTCCACAAATTGGGGCGCGTATTAATTAAAGGAAAATTCTGCATAAATTCTTCATGAAAGGTCTTATTTAAGATGCCGCCACCGTATACGTGTTTTTATCTTGTAATCCAAATGTATGATTTTCTTGTTCCAGCCAAGATCGACCCCTAATTACCAACAACAATTTATGTTGTCCTTTCTTCGTAACACTGCCACCACGTCATAGTTGTTATTTTGAGATATTTTGGGCGAAGAATTATAGCGTATCATTCTTTTAACCCTTCATTTGTCAATTATTGAAAATGTTCAAAATATTTTATTATTATTTTTTTTTTCAATTGGATTGACATTGTATAAACTATTTTATGTGAGAATAAAACCAATCTATCTATTATATATCGTCATTATAAATGCAAACGGACGTAAGTACACTTTTACTACTTTTACAGGAGAAGCAAAAAAACATTATAAAACCTATAAAAATGGAGCATTGCTCGAAATTTTTTTTATAGTTAAGGCGCACTATAGAGCCGTATTTATTTTTTGAAATTTTTTTTAAAGATGTTATGTCATTTACGTCCTTTTGAATTGATATTTTCTGTAACAAAAGGGCGTAACTACAACACAATTTTTATACAACAAAGTGAATAATACTTACCCGATTGAGACTAAAATTTTTACAGCGCACGAAATTGAGTCCGGAGTGGCATGTGGTAAGTCTTGTTGAAATCGGTTCAGATTTAGAAATAGCTCCCACACATATTTTCGTCGGATTTTGTGTCAATGGTGC